GGACAGGCTCCAAAAGCAATGGAGAAACCCTGTCTCGAAAACAGAACAAAATTCCACTTAAAAAGACAAGGAATAGGGCTGGAGAGATGGCTCAGTGGTTAAGAGCACTGCCTGCTCTTCCAGAGGTCCTGAGTTCAATTCCCAGCAACCACATGGTGGCTCACAACCATCTGTAATGGGGTCTGGTGCCCTCTTCTGGCCTGCAGGCAGATACACAGACAAAATATTGTATACATAATAAAATAAATAAATATTTAAAAAAAAGACAAGGAATATCAAACATTGCTTCTCAGCTCTACCTATCCTCAAACCCTCTACCCATGAGGCTGGCATCTCTTCCCTTCAGATGCTTCACACCCCAAAAGGAATCTCAATTTCATGACTATTCTGCAGTGCTACGGTCCCCCTAGTTCATCCCTGTGCCTCTTAGCAAATCCTCCTGACAGACCTCGCTGTACTTGCCCACTGCCCCACGTGGGTGACCTAAGTCACAGTCCTTCCACTAGAAACACTGCAATGACTTTATAAGACAAGATGTCTTTCTTCTCCGGGGCAGGGGAGTTGTTTGGTTGGTTTGGGTTTGGGTTAGGCTTGTTTTTTTTTTTTGAAGCAGAGGTTTTCTGTGTAGCCCAGACTGTTCTGGGAACTCACTCAAACTCAGAGGTCTGCCTGCCTCTGCCTCTCAAGTGCTGGGATTTGGATAAGATGTCTAATTAGTGGAGCTGCTCCTTTGGATCCCTGCAGCCTGTCAGGTTTGATTTCAGCTCCAGACCTCTCTAGATCTCAGCTCGGTGGCCTTGCTTTCCCCACCAGCGTCACTCTTGCTCCCTCTGCTCCTTCCTAAGTCCCCTCAAGCCGGCACGTTGTGGGAAGGTCTGTGTGCTCTGTCGTCCCTGCTTCTTCAGTGCCACTAGGAGTTCAGTTTTCTACATTATGATTCCATGACATCTTTAAGCTTCCAGAAGACTGTATATCCAAACAGGGAGCTCTGCCCCCAGAGACAACTGTGTAGACTTGAGCCCCTCAGGAAAGAAGCCATTGCAGCCCCTCCCCCTTACTATTCACGTAGTCCACACCGCTGTTAACTGTCACTTCAAAGAGCCCACCTTACCTGGTACATACTGCCCAAAGCCTGCTGTTCCCTCTCCACAACCTTGGCTCTTCTCCCTCTCTCTCCCAGGACCAGGATCTGGCCCAGGCATCGGTACGGGAGCCTGAACTCAGAAGGAACTCTTGTAAAAATCAGGAACTGTACAGAAACTTCAAAGTCGGGTTTCCTTCAAAACTTATATATATAATTTTTATATATTAGTTTTGACAAACACAAAAGTGATAATAAAGAGCCCTCCTCAACCCAAAATGTGAGCCACCTGTGGCATCCCCTCCCCATTAACAAACCAACAGACAAAATCTGTTGAGTCCTTTGTCTCTTTTAATAATGTGTTATTCTATTTTGCAATGTGTGCTTGGGGTTCTGAGGTGTGTGGGATTGAGTTCTCTGCTTTTTTTTCTGAGATGTTATATGTAAATGTAAAGTTATTTAAATATATGTTTTAAAGAACTCTCACCACCAACTTTTGTTGCAAAAGAAAAAAAAAA